CACGTACCAACCCATTTCCTATTGCACCCTTTACCTAAGCTGTCAGCACTCAAAATAAGTATGAAATGTTTCATTTATAACAAAATCCACCCACATATTAAAGTTTTGATTAATGCTGCCGAATCTCGGATCTCGACAAGCCCACCACATGTAACGGCATTTAAAAGAGCGTGAAAAGTCAACTGGGACTGGCGAAATCCTATCCACACACGTGGTAGCCCAACTCCAACTCCAGGCTAACCCCTGTAACCCTCGATGTGAGTGTGATTTAAATAAAACTAATGTTTGTGTGAAAATGGATTTTCTGTTTGTCATCGGCTGTTGACTTCCCCTGTGTTTTGTATGCAAGGGGCGAACCGCAGGGCCAAAGGATGTCTTCCGTTCCTGTTCCTGTTCCTGGCCATATTCAAATTCGGCGCCAGCAGCAAACAGATTTAAATTCGCATACGCTTAGCACGTGAATGTGAATCCTTGAGGACGACGGGCAGGAAGAGCGACAACGACGCCGCTTTCCGCCGAGTCATGCATCATATCTACAGCTGCGGAAACCCCTGCGTTGGGAGGGGTTCGTCCTCGGGACAGGACTCGATTGGGTTGGGTTCGGCTTGGGTGTTCAGCGTGGCTAGGTAGGATTTGGAGTGGAATTGGGTTGAAGCTGAAACTGAAACTCAAACTGAAACGGAGAGCGCGCGTGGTTGACACGTGATTCCGGTGCTCGTAAATTTTCAAGAACTTCCCATACTTTTTAGTGGTTCTTGTAGTTTTTAATTTGTGGCTTGTTGGGCCTGTTAACAGTTATTATTTATGCGATGAGCGGAGAGATAGCAAAGTTATGGGATATTTTCAGAGCGGATATTGAGTTAGCTACCTGTGATAAGGACTGCAAGTATCGCGGAAGCAAGTCGCATTTGCAACCCCGAAAACAAGCCATGAACTTTCAAATGGGGCGCGGAGAGCGATAGATGTCACTTGGGGATGCTTCCCTAAAAATATATGTGGGTTTGAGATACTGCGAGAGTGAGTGAGTGTCACAGCATCATCCATCATTTTGGACTTGACCTTTTTTGGGCTGGGCTAAGCTTACGTTTAACGCAGACTAAAGGCGAATCTTTAATTTTGTATTTGCTATCTGGCGGCACATGTTACATCCGATGGATGAAGAGATTGTCCGAGAGGCGGCCACAAAGCAATGTGTCCAATGTCAGACAGACCGCATAAACGGCTCTCTGGGAAACTTGCCTTGCAATGCCCCATTGTGAGCTTTCCTGGGCACACATCTCTATAATATAACATCATATATTCCCAATTGGTTTTCACTTTTGTGTCGTGTTAAAAATGAATTTGTCATCTGTAAACGGTCTGACATGTTTGCCAAAAAATAAATCCCATTCACTCTCCACCTTTGTGATCATCTCGTGTCTGGCAAGTCCGTTGGGCAATACATCAATTGTTGCTCGGTGGTTGACTTAACTGCCGAACGCAGCTAAGCCAAAGTCCAAAAGTCCCTGATTGATTTGCATTGAAAATCGTGATTTTAATTGACATGCGATGAGCTCGGCAATACAACGCACCAATAATTATGTCAATCTGCTCAGCTTGTTGATCGATGGATTCTGCTTATTTTGGATGGGGTCGGATTTTTAAAGCAAATTGCACGCCCGGTGTGATATATTTCTATAAAAGAAATACATGTGTAAATAAATAAAATATCTTAGATATTCCAAATTTAAAAGAGGTTGTTGAACGAATATAAAATATAATTTATACCATTTATTCACATTTTTTGTTACTGTCTCGATGAGCCGTACAAACTGCAATCATTGAGCACTCGAAACATAAATGTAAACACATGCCCAACGTAGACTAACACATTTATTTTTGGTGGTTACAACTCTTTTGGAGTTATTTATTGAAATTCATACACAGCTCACACAAATGGAACAGATCGGAGCGAACGTGCTGGATAAAATACGCCATAAAAATAGCAATAAGTGGGACAATTATGAACCAATAGAGGGGAGCACATAAGGTGGAGAAACATGGCCAACACGGTTCCCCGGGCTTTATAATAGCCCCGAATCGTTTAGCTTGAATTCGAAATGGGTGGTTAAAGGGGGCCAAAAATGGAGGGCAGTTCGCGGCAGGTGAACGGTGGTTGAGCGGTAGGTGGGTGGTGATTATTATAAACGCATCGTTCAGATCATTGGCCAAATGGTTTTTGAACAATTTGTTGCTTCGCTGCTGATTGAATGACGGCCATGCGGAATGGTGGGCTATGGGTCTAAAGAGCGTGAAATTGATATGCAATTAAAATAATATTTTTCCAGCCGAGTGAAACGCTCATGATTATTACCAAGCACATATAAAATAATTATTCATATCTCTATATCACGTATAGATTTTTATAGCCACCAGCTGTCAACAAAATGTGCGCGAAATAATAATTTCCATTGATACGAACCAATTTCGAATAATGTGTATGCCACGCATTAAAGCCGAGTTCAAGGATTTTGCGCCAGCTCTATTTTCTTCGCTTGTTTTTTAAATTCTTAGAAAGTGCAGAGGGGGGATAGCAGGCTGAGTGACTGCTGCGGTTAATGGCTTTTGAATGCAAATTCAATTTTATCGCACTCTGTTCACTTTTTAATAAGATTTCCACCCAGCCCCACACCCATTCCCGACTGCCGGCGAAAGGTGCACTCTGTTGGAAATGAAAATTAGTTGCAAGAGCCCAAAAACAAAACAGAAAGACTGGCACTGAAATGAAAGCCCAGAGACACGCGACTTGCGGACCTGCGAGAAATGCTTTTTGGCGCCACAAGCAAACCTGTCTCTATCTTTTTTTCCTCTTTAAAAGTGGTGGTATTTGTACACTCTTAAAAACCGTGGAAGTTTAGCTTTCAATTATAGAAAATAAACACCGCTTGTAGCCGTTGAGGTGTTTTAAAAGATATACGAGTATCTGAATGGTTCGACCACCAACACGTATTTTAAGCAATTATTCAAAATATAGAGGCTTCTCAAGCTGAATCTTATATCTCGTTTTTGTATTTATATCTCCGTCGATCACAAAATAAACATCGGATTTTTGGGTACTTAAATTCTATTCAGATAATTTGTATGTGACAGTATTAAAGAAAATGTAGTATTTTTATATGTAAAGTGTTTTTAAGCCTTTAACAAAATTTCATCAAGAAAAGAACATTGAAATGTGTTATAGTTAGTTCCTAGGCTTTTAGGGACGGCATTCGGATATTTTACCTTCATGTGAAAGCTTGTGATATATTTTTCCGAGTGTTTTCTGCTCGAGGGGCACTGCCCACAATCCAACAAATTGCGTTTCGTGTTCGAGAGTGGGTGGGAAAACTGTCAGAATGAATGAGTAGCCCGGTCACACCTACTCCCTGTCAGTCAGGCCCGAATTCGCCCCTATGCAGCCCCCAAATGGAAATGGCAATGCCAATGCCAAGTTATCCAAGCCGTTGCCTTGAATCGGGCCTGGGATCGAAATCGAGAAAATAAGGAACTTTTAACTGCAAAATGGTCACGGGCAGATACAATACTCGCAGATGGATAGATAGCTCGCTACATTATTTTCAATTAGGTAAATGGTTTCGAGTGAGATTAGAAAGTGTGTTCGGGCTCACTTGGTACTTTAAGGTGGTACTCAGGGGAAAGTTTATAGTGGGGAAACAGAAAAGTTCGCACGGATCAAAGAAATGTTATGTTAAGAATATTATTCCAATATGTAGTTCTTTGCTATTTAACAGAACATAAATTTCCTTCTTTGAAAAGGGAAACACTAAAGATATTTCTTAAATATAGGCATCTTTTCGCTGTGCACACACCAACAGAAAATCACTAAGAGCTTGAACCGGACGTAACTGCAGCTCCACCCATTAAAGCCAGTTCCATCTTTAACTGAAATAGCCAATCCGGCCCCTTAAAGTGCCAGTCATATTCATGAGCTTCGCATCAGCTGCATATAGAAATGGGAATGCTCGCTGATTATCAAACGAAAATATTTGCTAATCACGCAGCTGCCGCCGCTGCACGAAATATCAAATATTGCTTATGAAACTGCATAAACTTGGCAGCAGTTCGATGGGCAAGGATGGGGACAGCAGACTAGATACCAACTCGGTAGGAATTAAGTTCCAGGCTAGACGCTATTATTTCCGACAGCATGATTTTATTTGCCTTGCCCATCATCATCGTCATCGAGATCCAACCCCTTGCTTGGGAGCTCCACCCCTCGTCCCCTAGTAATATACTTCCAAGAGAAGTTTGGCGCTTCCTTGAGACTCTTCCGGCGGGGATTTCCTACTGGTTTCTTGCCACCGAAACTTCTCAATAAGGAAGTTAGCTTTCAGAACAGAATTGAGTAACAGTGAGCTTAAGGAAGTACCGCCACTTGACCGCTCGTTACGTGCTGCATGTGTTGACCACGTCAAGCCGGCTGGGGAACTTCCGCTTTCCGAAGTTTGAGGTTAATTATTTTCCACTCTTGATACAAGCCAGCTTCAGCAAAGAAAGTTTCTTAGCCGATATTATGTAGCTATGTGTAGTTGGCGTCTTGGAGCAACTTTGTGGCCGAAAAAGATAAACAAAAACGAATGTCTCCATATTTTAATATCGATACCTCGACGTTGAAGCAGTCAAGCAAGCACCTTTGCAGGAGAATGAAGTCTTAAAATATTTTCACACCTCAATAGTCATTAAAGGATTTCAGCATGCATCTGGAAGTGTTTCTTTATGCTCATCTCTTTGTTAAAAGATCCATTAAATTCCACGTTAAGCTCAATACTAAAAAAATGCAAGGACTGGCAGAATATTACAAAACTTAGTTGTGAACAGTAAATTAAAGTGCTAAAGAAGGTATTGGATCTACAGTCGACAAAAAATGTTATCTAAAATAGCTAAGAAAATAGCCTAATATTTCTGCATTATCTTTCAAAGTAAACATATTCCTAATTAAGCGCTTTTCTTTCTCGTTTCAGGTGATAACTCCATTAGTAAGTACTTACACAGCTAAACAAACAATTTGTCACCCATTGCGCAATATTTCCAACCACAAACCATACGATTCGCCAATTGGCCTGAAACTATGAAAACCGAAAACATTTTGCATTCGTTGTGGGAGAGTCTTCAAGGCGAATCGGTAATATAAGGTCCCAAACCGCAGCAGCCTGATTAAATCGCATTTTACCAATTTGGGCCAGCTTACAGGAATCTTTGAAAAACCGCAAAGCGAAAAATGTGAATTATAATTATTGTATAGCAATTTCACTTGAAAATTTGCTTAGCCAAATAATTATATCGTTTCTCAGGAAAAGATCTGGCCAAGTTGAGACGACCATTTTGTGTCTCGGAATCATCTAGAGTAGGTTTGAAATCAACCATAAAACCGAGAAAAAACTGACCCAATCAAGCGTCGACCATTTTGGAGACGGTTCAACGGAAACGTCGCTTTTTCATGTTCGTGACCAAAGTTTAGGTTTATATATATTTTTTTTTTTTGGAAGGGAAGAGAGATACAGCAACGCAAACACGTCTTAAAATAAAAAACGCAGAGAGGGAGAAATACCTATTTTACCTGAATTAAATTGAGTAAGAAAACACGAAAGTTTTTATATACATATCAGGGTGCGCGTACATACATACATATAAATAATTTAAGAAATATATGTAGACCAATCTTGTTCGTGTTTTTGTTCGCTGACAAGGGAGAGAGCCGCAAACACGCTACCAGTTTCAGTTTGGCCCACACCACACACACCACACACACCACCACACTCCGAAAGCCTCTCTCATTCTCTTTTTGGCTTTGTTGCGGAGGAAATAATTACATGATTGAGGTACTCCACACACACACACCGGCTCGCATACCCACAATGACAAACACTGGGCCCCCTCCCCTCCAAGGCCCCCTACTGCCCACCTCCATGTGTACATACATACATATACACTTTTTTGCCCTTTGGTGGTGGTCGTTGTCTGATCGAAAAGAACATGTCAGGTTTCCCGACCTGGCCATTGCATGCCTTGGGTTCCTATTCAGTATGAATGAATGACCGCGCCATGGCGGCTTTTTGTGGCACAACCACTCTGTGGTTCTTGCTGGCCCGCTTTTTGCTCCGTTCAGTTTCTGGTCTGTGCACTCGAAAAAACATTCGTATTCAAGGTAGCATACTGAAGGTTTTATGCAATGTCAAGGTACTTTTTTAATGTACATATCTGTTTATGTGTTTATTTTGATTCCAAGCCTTTGCCCTTCTAGAGAAAGAGTTGCGGCAAAGTTCAAACTACACTCAATGTTCCATGCTATCACTAACTATTAATTGCTATCACTAGCAATTAGAATACGAATCGGTAAACCTTTAAACCCATTTTTCATATTTAATGCAATGATACAAATATTTACAAGTTTGCGTACGAGTTAGCTTTGATATTAGGAATCCCATTTGCTAAAGTTTTTATAAGATAGTTTAGTTTATAAATGTGTAAATTCGACAATCTAATGTGAATTCGAAATATATAGCCTATTTCTATAGGAAGACATCGCGTTAATCTGGTTACTCGGTTTTCTGTAATCATATTTTATCCATGTCATACCAAGTATTTAATCCCTGAAAACTACGATTGCTAAGATATTGTACATACAATACGCATTTCAAAGTTCAAGCAATGTACTACTTTTCCAGCCATTCAAATCTAGAGATTTCTTGTAGTGTATGTAATTCACGCTTAGCCGCAACACTGTCGACTGGCGACGGTCGAAGGCCCTGGCCCAGGGCAATTATTGTATCGCTGGCAACCCACCATGCCCACCCTCTCCCTGCCACGGCGACTAACTTACCCCTTGAATCTCCTGCTGGGCCACAAAACGGTAACCACTTTGCTACGAGGTTGTACATAAGTGTGTGTGCCAGGAGCAGAGTTGAGGTCAGCGCATTGTCGTGCTGTAATTGGCTGGCTGTTGTTCCTATTGCCAGGACATGACGAACACCCACTCTGGAAGCACGGCATATGTGACTAGGGTTCTTGTATGTTAGCCAAGGCGGTTACTAACCACACATAGGCTCATTCGACTGTTTATTACTCATTTCTGATATTTTTTATTGATGTACTCCATAATTATAGGCTTCTAAAGAATATATATCTTCTTTGAAGGGGTGTATTTATATTCAAACATTATTTATTAAGCTGATAATATTATTTGAATCGGGGAAAAGGACTCTTGTCCTTGCATCTGAATCAATTGTGAACTCTAATGCTGAATTCACCATTGACTACTTAACCTTCTTACATAAAAGTTATATGTGATCAATGTTTCCATTTCCCCAATGTAAGGCCTTTTTTCTCGCAATATAATTTGGAATTTCCTCGATGCGCTTCACTCGATAGATCAACTATGATGTGTGTATATGCTATTACTCCGACTTGTCAGTCATGAGGATTTCCCATTAATTTTGCCTGACCTCTAAAGTTCCGCCCCCAAAGAAGAAGCAGACAAGAAAAGAGACTCTACCCCTGCCCAAACCTTCGGAGTCGGATCTTCCCATACCATCCCCTTGTAAGTATTTCCATCTGTGGTTTAGTGGCAGGATTAATTTCTAATTTCGCCTAATGTCCAAGTGCTGCCCAGTTCCATGTTTACATTTTGGGTGTCTCGTCTTCTAATTTACCTTGATAAAACGTTACCGTTCCCATTCCCAATTCCATTCCCATTCCCATGCCCAGCCCTGCCCTGCCCTGTCCCCGGGCTGTATTTGTCTCTGCCCCCCGAACGCATTCGAGTCGTAAAGGTAGCCGGACTCGCAGTCGGATTGGAAATCGTAGTCCGTCGCACAGACGGAGACGGGCCCACATGTTTGCATCATTAATCATGACGTTTCAGCTCTGACACATTTGGCCGATCGGCGGCAGCGGCAGCGGCTGCAGCAGAAGCAACGGCAAGCGGATTGTAATGAACACGTTTTGTAAGGCAGACAACGGCGAGAAAAACGCGGAGACACAGATACAGATACTGATGCAGAAACAAACCCATAGATTCAGATACAAACGCAAACCCAGACGCAGACTAAAAGAGCTTGAGACAGACGCACGTCAGCAGTGGACGGCGACGACTGCGGATGCGTGTGCACTCAGAAATATATCTTACTTACTTTCTTACTTTCATAAAAAGTCACACAAAGTCAACGCCGAAAGTATTTCAGTATGCAGCAAATTGAAGCATACATTTTATATGAAAGAACTTCTTCAAAAATAAGGACGGCTTTTATCTTACTTCCAAAACCAATCATTTAAACCTATTAATATAATTATTGATTAGGAATATTTTGCAGAAACATTTTAGCAAGTGAAAAGAAAGTTGACGTACAGTTGGCGTAAATAATTTTGAGTGTACCCGATGCGTGCCGAATGCCGCGAGAGCGGGCAGAGACAATGGGCCGTTTGAAGACAAATATTTTCACAATGGCAGCGAAAGACAAAAGGAACAAAACCCACAAGCAGCCGAGGCAGAAGGCAACTCATGTAAATATTGGCCAAAACTATTTACGAAACTATTAGCTGCTGTTATGGGCAAGACTAATTGTGCCGCTCCGGGGAGGGTGCCTTTATAAGGCGGGATGAGTCAGAGGTAAAGGGAAGATATGGGGAAGAGTTTCGTAAGGATTGCGTAAGGACAACGCACAATAATGAGGTTTAAACGATGATAACTCTCAGACATGGTTTTCGATTTGTTAAACCGTGAGGAAAGATGTCTACCTTCTTAAAAACATCAATGACCACACAGAAAAGAAGACTTTGTAGAGTGATAGTCAAACAGTTGGGTGGGCTTTAAAAGGATTTTGAACAGAATATTAAGGTAAAAGTCTATAAGGTATCGAAGCTTTTCCAGCCAAACTTGCACACATTTTTCATCCTTACCTTTTGCTCCGAGCCAACCAGCTTTGTACAAATTTAAATATTGCAGTCCTTAAAACGCTCTCTCCTGGCTTCGGCAAGTTTCTGACTGAAAGGCCATTTGTCCTTGGTATCAGCAGAGCTGCTACTAAACCAAATCTAGGTTGACTTATATACTTCCGTTTCCGGCAGCAAGCATACGCTCCAACTCAGGTCGGACCCCATCCAAACCTCCGCTTGTGTTCGGGGGATTTTTATGGCCCTCACTCGGGAGCGGAGGATGGGAAGCGCAGTGTGTACTTGGCGCTGAAACAGAATTTTATGCAAATATCCTAATCAAATTCACATTTGAAGTTCAACTGTTTTATCCAAAAGTTTTACCTTCCGTAAAAGCCGAGAGCCAAAGCCGGCAGCGTCGTTGTCGTCGTGTGGCAGACGCGCTTGAGACTCGCAGCCAGAAAGATGCCACCCATTTTTAATTTATTTCCACTTTTCCACTTAAAAAAAGGGAGCCACTCCACCCCGAAGTCCGGACCCGCCCATACCTTCATCCGCAGACGTATCCGGTGCGTGCGTCCGGCGGAGTTTGTCGGGGCTTGGGGTTGGTGTTATCGCCGCCTGTTTACTGTCTTCTGTGCACTGGAAAAATCTGACACCATCTTAATCGAGCTAGCTAAATTGGTTGACTACCATTAATTGAAGTATTTGAAGTATTTTGAAGATCATTTCCAAAACAATAATACTTTTTTCTCAAACCAATTGGAAAAATGGTATAAAAAAAATCGCACATTTATTTCGATACAAAACCTATTTTTGCGAGTGTAGCCATATCCTCATCCGACCGACATCGCAGCGGGGGTTGTCGCCCATATTTTCACTTATCAAAACGCCACCCCAGTTGTCTCCCACCGCAAACATAAGTCTGCATATCGAAAGCGATTAAACAGCTACCGCAACTTCAACTCCAGAGGCTTCTTAATTCGCTGCAAATTAAAACAAAGAATCAGCTCTCGGCGGACTAAAAAGGATAAAAATTAGTCACTGCAGTGACAGTAATTCAGACAAGGCCCCACATTTTCCCAAACACCCATTCCCCATCCCGGCT